TGGCAGATGAGATTCGGCCGAAACGTTGCTACAACTTTAAAAGCACAACTATAATGATGTGGGAAAATACCCGAATAAAGCTGAATACCATACATACGTACGTACGTACGTATGCATGTATGTATATGTGTGTGTGTGTATACATATACATATACATATACATATACATATACATACATACATACATACATACATACATACATATATATATATATATATATATATATACACACACACATATACATATACATACATACATACATACATACATACATATTGCCCCTGCTGCCTTGGTGCAGATTTGGCTAAATAAAATTCTCTTTTATTTAAATTAAACAGGAGCACAAACTATTGTACTTGAAATAGATTCTTCTTGCCATTTCCTTGCAGAGTTTTGAAAGTGACGGTGACCTTAACTTATTTTTTTTCCTCTTATTCTATAAAAATACAAATGTGGATGGATTTTTATTGCTTTATTTTTCTTCTTGCTACCGTTCACTTCTCCTGTGGATAGTACCGTAGAGATATTTCTTTTTCACCTTTGCTCATCTAGAGATCTAGAAAATACCCTGCTTTATAGAAAACGGGTATTGGTAGCCTATTTATTCAACATGTAAGTTAACGGAAAAGCATGAAGCATTGCAGTCAATTATTGATGGCTGTAGTTGGCCATGTGCAGTAGTAAAGTGTTCAATTTGATTTGTCATTCAGGGAAGCAGAGGTGAAATGTTCAAACTAACCAGCTGTGATTCTCTTTTTACAAACCTTAGTTTCTGAATTGGTGCCAGCCGCCCCCCCCCCCCCCCCCCCCCCCCCCAGGATGAATTAAGGTTGGATTTGCACTGTTGTTAATTCCTAACAGTTTGGAAAAACAGTTGCAATGCATGCCAGCTTACTGTTACTACCTCTGCAAATATTTTTTTTCTCCCCTTTCATCAGCCAGTCTTGGTTAATTCTAACTTGGATTGTCCTTCAGATCCTAGGTATAATTCTGGTTGGAACTACCCATGGAGATACTGGTGGAAGGAAAATACTGGATGCCAAAGCAGGCCAAAGAAAGCTTTGCATTCCTTAAATAATGCAAGAATATAGAAAACTAAACCTCTTTTGTATAGTTAAGAGGTATTAGACGTGCTAAAATTCCACTTTGCCAAGATTTCTACATTCCTAGGATGGTTTTTGTTCAAGAAATAGACGGACTTTAATTTTTTAAATAATTCAAAACAACAAACCCCAATCTTGCTGGGATATTACAATGATGGCAGCTCAAGGGAATGTTTTTTTTCCCATCAGAGAATTCCAGTCTTGTGTTAAAAATCAAGAGTGTCATGTAGACATTTGTTGTGATCCATCTGTGCAATTATTGTGATTGATTGAGGCACATTGGCCTGACCAAGAAATAGAACAGAACTACTGAATTTAATGTGTGTGTTTTTTTAAAGTTGTCTTGGGTTTTGGAATATTGTGTGCAAACATACTAAGATAATGTCATACTTTTGCCTTTTGGGATATGATTAGGGTTTTGGTTTTTTTTCCAAAACTGCTTTGTGGGCTGTCTTTATTTTTTGGCTGAAGGTTATCTTTTTTGTTTCTGTTGATGAAGGTGAAATATGTTTTCTTGCCTGTTAATTTGTATTTTGCAGCTAAGATTCTATCTTATTGGGCTTCTCTTATCTTCTCCTTCTTTTAAAGATCTTTAATCTTTCTTATGTTTTGCATGAGACTTAAAACTGCTTCCTTGATTCCTTGGATCCTTGTTGCCAAGTGCCATGTTTAAAAATGTCCTGTTGTAAAAGCAGAAATATACAGTATCTAGATATCTAGATATAGATATATATACCTGGAGCATAACTGTTCATCTGCACTGAGTATAGTGATTAATTATCCTACCTGGACATTTGATCTCCTGAGTATTAGCTTGTTTTTTTAAAAAAAATCTGTTTAGCAAAATTACGTGTTTTGTTTAAGGGAAAAAAAAGATGATTTTGGTGAGAAGGAAATGTCGTGGGCTTCCTTTTAATTAATGATCTTAATAAAACCTTAGTTCTATGAATGATGCTGTTGAATAACTATGAAGATTTGGGGAAAAAGTTTGTCCGCGCCTTTATTTATTACCTGACCACCAAGACCTATGTATTTCTACATAGTGAATTGTTTGTAGACTGATGTCACAACTGAATTATGGTGTGGTGACCAAATAAATCTTAAATGTTTACTGTAACTTTTGCAGTGGTATATCTCTCTCTCTCTCTCTCTCTCTCTCCCTCCCTCCCTCCCTCCCTCTACACCTACACAAACACACACACACACACAAAATCAATCAATTTGCGCACTGCCTTACAAAGAACCTGGCTTGTGGGATGCAGATTTGAAACTTCCTGTGACTTCATGCTAAAAAATTCCAAAGAAACTTTTTTTTTTTACTGATCATCTGGAGCTGATGGAAGATTTTAATGCCTTTCTCCCCCCCCCCCCCCCCAATGCTGAATGCAAAATCCCAATTTTGTTGAAAAATGCCAAAAAGAGGAAACCGTCTAGACTCAGTGAAAGGGAAAGGGAAAAAAGACGTTACTTCCAAGGTGTTTTTTTTAATCATTAATCATTTTAATTTTTAATAATTTCAATAACAATAGTGTTAATAAAATTATTAAAAATTAAAATTAATAAAATTGGATTGTATTACTATTTATTACTAATATTAATATTTTAATAATAAAATTAAGTTTATTAAAATTAATAGATTTTAATAATTAATCTTAACTAAAGCAAACCACAGCCTCAGCCTCTGGGGTTATCAGCATCGTCCCGTTCCGCCATGACTGGATTCCCCCGCCGCGTTTTGCTTCCCACCCACTGGGGAAGCTGCAAGCTCCTCTTTTTTAGTACCATAGAGTCGGAGCCCTGGGATGGGACGGGGCCGGACGAGTTCTCGCGAGACGAGACGCGGCAGAAGGCGGAAGTGTTTGCTTCCCGGGGAGGTCCACGTGGGTTGGAGTGGCTCCGTTGACGCGCGCCTCGATGGGGAAGGCGCAAAAGAGGCGCAACTGGCGGGCGCGGCTGCCAGGATCGCCCAGGAGGGGGGGTCCCGCTCCCCAGGAGCCCGTGCAGCTGGAACTGGGAGGTGAATTATTATTATTATTCTATTTTTAAACCCGCCTTTTTGATACAGCCCGCCTCCTGTTTCCCTTATAACAACAACCTTGCGAGGTAGGCTGGTTTGGAGAGGGAGGAGCAGGCCCAAAAGTTCCAAATAAAGTGACATCTGTCAGAAATGGTGGAAGGTCTCCTGCTTGGGGGAGGGAGGGGGTTGGTCTTTAGAGCATTTTTGTCCACCTATCGAGCCCTTCCCGAAGAGCTAAAATAGGCCAATGTGGCTGATTGGTGGTATTTTTGATTTATTTATTTATTTATTTATTTGCCAAAAGCTTACAATACAACAGAAACGAGAATAAACGTAAGTTTTAAATACAAGAAATAAGAACTAATAATTGGGGACAATAGGACAGGGACGGTAGGCACGATTGGGCGCTTATGCATGCACCTTACAGAGCCCTTGGGAATGGGGTGAGGTCAATAGAGGTTAGTTTGAGGGTAAAGGAGTGGGGTTTGAGCAGGTGACAACAGAGTCAGGTAGTGAGTTCCAGACATTGACCACTCTGTTGCTGAAATCGTACTTCCTGCAATCAAGTTTGGAGTGGTTTACATTTAGTTTATATCTGTTGTGTGCTCTTGTGTTGTTGTGGTTAAAGATGAAATATTCATTAACTGGTAAGACGTTGTAACTATGATTTTATGTACTATGCTTAAGTCCAATCTTAGTCGGCGTAGTTCAAGGTTGTCTAAGCCTAGAATCTCAAGTCTGGTGCTGTAGGGTATTCTGTTGCGAACAGAGGAGTGTAGTAGTCTTCTGGTAAAATACTTCTGGACCTGCTCAATGGTGTGTATGTCTGCTATACAGTGTGGATTCCAGACAGCAGAGCTGAATTCAAGTATTGGTCTAGCAAAGGTTTTGAATGCCCTAGTTTGCAAATCAGTATTACCAGAGGAGAAGCTTCGTAAAATTAAATTTACAACTCCTAAAGCAATACTGTTGCAGTGAGCTTTGGCGCATAGGTCATTCGATATGAGAACTCCAAGGTCCTTGACAGAGTGAGGCTCATCAACCAGGTCATATCCGCCTAGCTTATATTTAGTATATGGATTTTTTTTTACCGATGTGTAGGACAGAGTATTTGTTGGTAGAGATTTGGAGTTGCCAATTGCTATTAAAGATATCATTGTCATAGGATGTAAGCTATGCCACGTAAAGCAGCCTTTTGCAATTGACTGACAGGGATTTTGTCAATGCCGAATTATGGTCAAGTGATGTTCCAACTATTTGGGGATGGCACCCAAGGAACTATTGGTACTATCTTAGCCTTTGAGTTCGCGGGACTTCTTTCAGAGTGAACTTGGCATGGAAGTGGCGTAGCAAAGTAGGGTTGCAATTTAACTTGGTGGGGGTCCTCCTTCTCCCCTCCCCCCCCTTCTAGATGAAGCCATTTTGAAAGGAGTGGATGAGAGCAACGCCCTGGTTCTTCCATCCCGAAAAAGCCAGGAGAAACCAGCAACCTGCTTTAAAAGTCCAGGAAAGAAACCCCTGACCAAGAAGCAGAAGAAGAATTTGCAAAAGGTTTTGGAACAGAAAGCCAAGAAAGAAAAGGTGGGCAGATGATTTCAGGGGAAAAAGCCCACGCTTGATTGAATATGGTGATGCGGGGAGGCAGGAGACTTCACCCACCCCTCCTCCTCCTCGGCTCACGTGGTTTGTTCTGTTGGGTTGGGTTTGAAATTGTAGCGAGCGGAATTGCTGAAAAAGCTGAGCGAAGTCCAGGTGCCTGAAGCCGAAATGAAGCTTCTCTATACCACGTCCAAGCTGGGAACAGGAAAACGGATGTTCCAGGCGAAAAGGTAAGATAAAAGAAGTGGGAGGGGTCCCTGGCGCTCTCTCGGCTTGGTGGTCTTCTTGCAGACGTTTTATGACCCATCTAGGTAACATCATCAGTGCTAGAAGGGAGTGGGGTTTTCAGAGCAGAGAAGGAGAAGAGAGGAGGAAGAGGAGGACTGTAGGGTTCTTGGTGCTCTCTGAGCTTGGTGGGTTTCTTGCAGATGACCCAGATAGGTAACATTATCAGTGCTAGAAGGGAGTGGGGTTTGCAGAGAGGAGGAGGAGGAGGAGGAGGAGGGAGGGAGATGACAACGACTATGGCGTATTTGATATATTCTCTGAGCTTGGCTATTTTCTTGCAGACATTTCATTACTCGACTAAGTAACACAATCAGTGAGATTGTGAGATGTGGGGTTTGCTTTAAGGAAGGGTCAAGTTCATTGGCTCATTTTATTTATGCAACATGGATGTATGTTTCATGGCACCTTTCGGCAGCCGTTTGAGCTTCTAACTCCTTTAGGAGAGGCTGGTGATGTGCAGAAAGGGCAGCCAATCTTTCTAGGCAGCTAACAGATAACGGGAGCCTCCAGAATTGTTAGGGAAAAAAAATACCGGTATTTATCTGACTGGGGGGATTCTGGGAGTGGAATATCCAAGCTGGCAAATCTTCCCTGGTGTCTCTTCGGTGCTTGGGGGATAATGTGGAAGTCTTGGTGTTTCAGGTCAGTCCAGGAAGCAAATGCCAGCTGGTCGAAGAAAATCAAAAGCATTGCGGGTGCCAGTAGGAAAAGAGGCAGACTTGAATTGGAGGAGGAAGAGGTAGAAGAAGAGGAGGAGGAGGAAGAGGAGGAGGAGGAGGATTCTGAGAAGGAAGAACAGGTTGGCAAGGCACTCCCAGAAGCCTCCACCACCACCACCGAGATAGAATCCACAAAGGTCTCCAAATCTCCACCTTCTTTACCCAAAGAACTTGATAAACCTTCTGGGCAAAGAAACACAACCTCTAAGACCACGTCTGAACCTGCAGTATTTGTTCCAGTGGATCGATCCCCCGAGATCCAGGTTAGTTTTGAATCAGGTCCATAGAGAATGTTCTCATGCGTCATTCAAGTTTGCTAGCTAAACCAAAAGCAGTTAAATCATCTGGTCTGGGAAGTGTGAAGCGACATGCAGCTTGCAACGAAAAGAAGGTTCTTAGGGTGGGAATATTAACCACAAGCGGTTTTAAAATTCCAAAATGATGCATGTTGAAATTTTGTTTAGAGTTTGGGCTGCCACAGCGTTTTGTTGTTTCCAGTTTAAGAGTAGTATTGAGTTATAAAATGAAATAGACAAAATACGAAAGTAAATAGGAAAACAGTCAGGAGGAAGAAGGGGAAGAGAAGTGAGGAAGGATTAGGAAAAAGAAGCATTGACTTCCGACTCTCTCTGTTGCAGCAAAATAAGGCATTAACATCAAATCCAACTTTTTGGTTTTTTTCCATAATAATATAAACTAGCCATTTTGTAAGGATCTATCAGTCTAATCGGTAAAACCCCCGATCAAATTTTCATTCTTTTCCAATTCAAGCACAAAGTTCAGAAGGAGTCTCCATGTGGAAACAAAAGTTCTTATGTTTCTTTTCTTTAATCAAAATAGTCAATTTTGCCATTTCAGCCAACTCCATCAACTTCTGCAACCATTCACCCATAGTAGGAATCAAAGTGTCCTTCCAGTTTTGTGCATACCATAGTCAACATATATCATAGCAAAGTTCCAATTTTTTTTCTCCAAGTCTTTTCCCATTTAGTCCCAAAAGGAAAAATTCTGGTTTCATCTTTATCTTCATTTGAT